CAATTTTCGTTACAGTCAAAAGGGGGACTTTTGACTCGAAACCTCTAAAAGGTTGTTGAAAAAAATTCAAACGTCTCGGCAGTAGTAAGTTGGCTTCACAAGTTGACGAGTAATCAGTCGTATTTAACTAGAAAAATTCGAACAATATCTTTATAAACAACAAACATGATTTTTTTGCGTATTTTATGAATAATGGTAACGAACGGGTTCGACTTGCGCTTGCCCCTTTCGTAAATAATGGAGAATAATTCATTTGATGAAAAAATAATGTGTGGGTGACTATTAACGAGATATTTTAACACGAAAAGTTTAATTAATAGATAACTATGAATGACTAAAAAGAAAAATGAATGAGCTACTAATAGCAGAAAAAAATATTATCTAAAAATAGCAATTAAAATTTAAAATATCAGAGTTAAATTTAAAAAGTTATATAAATAAAGTTATACAAATTGAAGAGAAGGCAGAATATCCGTTGGTAAAATTCAATTTGGTGTCACGCACTACAGTCTGAAAATAGTGAATTGAGAAACCAAGAATAAGCTAATCATTAAATTGCTTTGAGGTTCAGTTATAGAATATTGCACAAGCAAGGCATCAGGTCCCGAGTAAGCATAGTAGTCAAATATCTAAATCCAAGAAAATATAAGCTTTATTATTAAACGATTTCATTAAAAGGACAAATTTTTTAAAGAAAATATTTGTTTGTATTTATTTCAAGGCGTGTCGATTCTACCGCGCACTAAGATGGAAAGAAGAGGAACTGGATTATTATATAAAGACATACATGATGTTCACAGAAACACCGGTAGATTTTCCATAATTGGTTGTATCTATTGGGCATGCCTATGACCCAGCAGTGGGGAATAAGGTAATGATGATGATGTAAAGGTGGATTCTCACTGGCATATTTTAAATTAAGATTAGCTTAAGCTCCAGTAGAGAAGGCCGGTGAGCACACAGTACTCACTTTTAATGGTGTCAATGTTTAAATATAAAAGAGAAATATTTAAACAGGAACATTATGGAAAATATTAACTTAATTTAATAGAATTGTATTTGCCTATATACTTGTCTAGAATTAGATTTATATTTTTTTAGGATAAGCTCGTAGACCTCAGGGATTCCTGTTCAAGTGTCATAAAATTGACGAACTCATTATTTTTCCCTCCTGTTTTCAAATTGACTGCGATGATGTCACAAGTCGTAGGCATCTACGCGAAACGGTCGGCGACGCAAACAGGGATTTTTAATTTTGCGACTTCCTTATTTTCAGCATATTAAAGAATACATTGACGTACTGCACAATTTATATTGTGACACGTAAAACAGTTCAGCGGTCAATTGGCAAAAAATAATTATGTCTTTGTATTTATTATGGCATTTTTTAGTATAAAAGAAAAATTGTAATGTTGTTGATGTCTAATTATTTAAAATTGAACCACGTTAACTGCTGTATAAGAGATAAATCTGTCACACTTGTCAGCGTCATTCTCTCTATGTAGAACGAGGATTTCATTTATAGAATAAATAACATCATGCATTTGTTCGAGCGATTATGAAACTCATTGATATATATTATTTTCGCCGGCTGATACAATATTTATCTAAATATATCTGACGATATCTTCATTACCCAGCGACAGACACAGCGATTTTATGTTAGTTAGTTTGATCTCCGGCCGCTTAAAAGAAAATAAACGTCTATTTATTGTCGTGCAGCCTTATTTGTTTGACACCTTCGTTAGTTTCAGTTTTCAGATCACAGAAGAGGCTTTAGTTATCGAACTTAAGATTATAGCAATCTTGTCTATATTTAAATAATCATAAGATAGATAAGATGAAAAGGTTACGATAATGTAAAAAAAAAACTAATTTTGGAGAGCAATGTTTGGTTGTCTATTATTTCGTCATATAATAGACAACCAAACATTGCTTGCGAAGGGAACTGAATTAATTTATATAAAAAATGTATGTTGTCCGTTCATAGGTGAATTACTTGTTAATGGTTGTCAATTTTTAATGTATGTACGTAACGCGTAATTTACGTCAGAACAAAATGTGTTTATTTATTTAAGAAAAACAGGTTTTTTCCATACAATTTCCTGAACAATGCAGTTTCAGGAAAAAACCTGAAAGTGAATGCTATAAGTTTTTTGGATAAAGGCATATAAAGTTTGTCATTCCTTTCAAACCATACACACACACATAATAGGAGTACAATTACAAGAGAAATAAGAATATGATAAAAATCACTATCTTTGATTTTTTATTTAATTATTCTTTCATTGCCTAGCAGATAAGTGATTAATTACGATGATCGGCACTAGGGTAGTATGAAGCACGTGTAAGCACACTTATTTGCCCACCATTATAGTTATATAGAATGACTGTCTAAAGACATTGTGGTGGCATCCGTCTCTTAGCTATTAATCTAGTTAATGTCAAATGCAATCAAGATTCTAATACGATAGGAATCTTGGTAATTGTATCTTTACATAATGGTATCATTGACAATGTTTATCGGTTTCAATTATTCAATGAACATTTTTCACTATTATATTAATAATGAAATTAAAAGCTGAGGAGAGTAGAAACATTCCAGTTTTAAGTAATACTTATGAAAATCTATCATTATAATGTTTCAGAGTTAAATGCTGAAGACATAATAATAATTTTTAAAACAGTAACTCGTTTTACATGGTATATTGTTTCGTTAGCTGGCTTAATTACTCATATAAAGAAAAAAAAACTTCAAGGAAAAAATCAACAGCAGCCTGAATTACGCAGAATAATAAAAAATTAAAGGAAAATTTCAGCAACTCGTACCATATGGACTATGGTCTCTAGCTCTACCTGAATTACTCATAATAAAAAGACTCCTTTAATGTTTATATCACAAATTATTATGTTTTATAAACAATTTATTGTCCTAACTAAAATCACATAAACAGTCATTCAAGCACCACATTTAACAACCGGAACGCTGAAATAAGTTCTTTAAATATTATATGACGACATACACTTTAAAAGTGTATAGATTTTTTGGCATCGCAGCCAAAATGCCGATCTAGATATTAGTATTTTTAACATGTAAATAATAAACTTAATAGTAACTATAAACATGTACATTTTTATTCGAATATTTGTATTAATAAACTATTTATGACATAGTTAAAAATATATAAATATTTAACAATTTCATATATTATCGATTTACGAATGTCATATATTTTTACCAATACGAATATCTGATATGGGCATTATCGAAAGCGAATAAGTATATCTACTAACGATATTGGCGAAAGCGAATTCGAATATCTACTACTGACACTCGCGAATGTGAATACGAATATTCATTACTTGTTTTAATTTGTCGTATTTTTCGTAATGACTATTATATTTTGTTTCGTACAAAAAAGGATTTGCTAACATTATAAATTTATTTAAAAAAAATATTAAAAGTTACGGGATCATTTGGTTTATGTTTCTTTACTTTTCATTATACATTGTTTTGTTATTTAAGTTCTAATGAGAAGTAAATAGTTATCCATTATTATAAATGCGAAAGTGTGTTATCTTCACGCTGTTGCGTTTTCATTATTGAACCGATTATTATTAAATTTGGCAAGCTGATGTAGTGGACCTTGGAAAAAGACGGGATAGTTTCTATCGCGAAAAAACCCCAATCCAGTTTAATATAACTCTATTAATGAAAGTTGCAGTAAATAATATAATTTACTGTAACCAATTTACTGCAAACTTTGCGAATTAGAATGTGAATGCAAATTTGATTGCGATTGTGATTGCGTATGCGAAATATTTAAAAATATGCGAATGTGAATATTTGTCATATAGCTATCACATATATTGCTAAGAACCCGAATTAAGTAGCTTAAGCACTTGCACTATGGGAATTTTGAACAACAAAGGCACCACACCTTGTCTCGGATCTCGGTCAGGCATTAAACCTCAAAAGACCTCGGGACCACAGGTGACACATTGAAAATTAACATATTAGCAGTTGACTTTGTACTTTGAAAGGGAATTATTTTTCTATCTATTAAATTTGTTTATTTCTAGGTGATCTTGGGAAATACTGAACCAATTATAAAAAAAAAAATTCACTTTACGAAAAGTTTCATAATATGTGGTTGACATAAGCTATAATTTACGATACAATATGATCGTGGTTGCTAAGCAACTTCCTCAAGGGTTGGTTACGGGAGGTAAAATATTATTAATAGTGATTATTATAAGTGATCAATAAAAATATTATCTCAAGCTTGTCGGAGCTTTGGAAAGCACGTCAAGCCGTTAGTCTAATCAGCATTGGATCAGCGTGGAGGTTTATGAACAAATCTACTTAATCATCCATAAAGAAGGCCTGAGACCCTGCTGATAATGCATTTGCGGGAAAATTAAAATACTTTTTCAACGAGAGAACGATCATGACTGTTGTTTAACGCCTCGGTGACCACTGCACTGTTTAGCCAACATGACATGAAATAATGATAGCTGCACAATTACGAACCCATTTACAGTAATTGTCCGCTAAAATGCTGTAACGGCTATTTATATGCCGGCATTATTGTCGCATAATATCACTGATAATTTCACTGATCTTATCTGTTTAAAAAGTAGCGGGGATAGCTTCAATGTGTTTGAATGTTATATTTATGATTTTTAGAGAACATTGAACTGTCGGTAAAATTTAAGTCTGTTTTGTTGTCAAAATAAAATTTCCATATAAAAACGTTAATATCATACGATAGATACATTGTTGCGTTGTTTGATTTGTCTAGTACAGTTTGACTTGAGAGATTACGATATTGCACGTCTGTAATGATAACAAAGTAGTATCGACCCTGATGAGCTTGTCATCGCACTTGACTCGGCGGCAGGTATGATTTTTCTTCAATATTGTATGATGCTAAGATTAGGCTATCACAAATGTTGAGGAGTTATACCTAATCTAATTAGTGAATGCACGTTTATAGGTATTGGCAGCGCTGGCCGCGCAATCCATCAACATATCGGTGGGGTTCTGTCAGGGTTTCTCCGCGGTGCTGCTGCCCCAGTACACACTTGAGCATCCCAACATCACATACGAGCAGAGTTCATGGATAGGTGAGTTTAATATTGGCTCAATTTTGAAATTATCTATCAACAGATTAATGCTTTACACCTGATGTGCTATCAATTTTAACATTAAAGAAAAATTAAGGCTCCAATAAGCGTCAACGCGTTTTTATTTGTCACTAGAAGCACTAGAAGTCTTCAGTACGTCAAATATCATACTTTGTCAGTGTTTAAAAATTAAGCAGGTTGAAAGAACAGCTATTAAACAGAGGCTAGTGTTCACTGGGAGTGATCGATATCTTGAATAAATCGGTTTATCTATTATATATATGTATGGTTTAAATTCAGGCTCGGAGTAAAGAAACTGATTGAACCTCTCGCGACTGTTGCGCCATCTGGTGAGCAAAAAAAACGGTAGCCTTTATTTAGCACTATTAACGTAATTATACTGTTTTAAATATGTACAGTTTGGTATAGATCCCACAGATGAAATTGTTTTAAAACTTTGACAGTCCGAAAGTACGTTTGCGCGAATCTGATCAAACGTCATGCGATTAACACATTGGAAATATGATGTCCATGACAATCGAAACATAACGACTCCATTTTCCATTGATTGATATCGAAGATGCTAGAATAAGATTCCTCACTTATTCATACAATCGATAAGATAATGTTTATATACACATTACTTTAATGATATCAAACAATCTTATTGGTATTAGTGTATGAGTGTTTCTTTCATGTAGTGATTTATTGACATTATCTGCGCATGCAATTTACGTTTAGAACCTTATCATTATTATTACAACATTTCTGGGATTAACATATTTCCTTCTATGAATGTATGCTGTTCTCGTAAATGAGTTTATTATTCAGTTACATAAAGTCTTTTTAGAAATGTTTAAGTTTGACTAATGTTGAGGCACACAAAACCTATTATTCTATGTTCCCAGTAAATAATATTAGGTATTTTTCTTTAAATTACTCAAATGAATCAGAGCATTCATTGGCTTTAAAAATGTGTCTAGAAATCATGAAGGCCTTAACCAAATCAACGATTGTTTGTGTTTTCCACTTTTTGTTTGATTACAAATAAGATGTGAATGCTATTTTTTTCCGCAAATTCTCGTGCTTACATCAGAATCTCTAAAACGATATTGAAGCTGAATTCCTCACTGGACCTCATCTCTGAGCTCCATGAAGATTTATAAAGGTCTAAGCTCCATGAACAAAGTCGAGGTCTAGAGGGAGGGTTTAATAAGAGACTTGAGTTTCGCTATAGTATTTATTTACGTACACGGGCAAAAAACTTTTAATTAAAATAACAATTGTATATATGAATTGTGTGAAAATTAAATCATACCTCCATAAAGGTCCAAGAATTTTAAAATATTGCACAAAGGTCCATTTTATTTTAAGTCTATTGGAATTGGAAATTCAATTCAACGGGATACAATATACAATACTGATTATTAGAATCTTAGAAATTTTCCCTCTGATTTCAAATAAGATGAACCTAATTTGTGGTTTCAGGATCTTGTGGCACATGCCTTGCAAGGTTGATTGGGTTGTATACATAACTAATTTTTAAATTTATCATCACCAGCGAGCTTAGGTGTGATCTCCAACCCGGTGGGTGCACTGCTGGGCGGCATGATGGTGGACGCAGTGGGCAGGCGGCTATTGCTACAGTCTATCGTATTACCTAACCTCATTGGCTGGCTAGTTATCGCCTTCTCAGAGACATACGTGTTCCTATGTATCGGGAGATTCATCACCGGTTTCACTATAGGTAATGGAATTTTCACCTTTCGAATTATCAATATAAATATTGTGTATAAGGCTTTATGAAGATACGTAGGTTAACTGTCGAAGATACTGCCAGATTAGTATACTTCAATTACTTTTATAGCGTACGGAATCCTATTGTGGGGAAATGCTGCCGACATGTGCTTTAGAAAAGAGCAATTAGATCAATATAATCTTAGGATTAGGGACTCTTTGAGGGAGAAATTTAAGGAAATAGACATAATGATTGTTGCTTCTCAATAGATATACGAGAACTTAATGTACGTTCGTAAAAATGTTAGTTTGTTTTCTATAAAAAGTGATGTACATAATTTTAATACAATAAATAAATAAAAAATTAAAGGTGCCTGTCACTAGACTGCAAAAAGTTAATAACTCATTCTGAGGTCTTTGTGTGCGCTTCTACAATAAGGTCCTAAGCAAAATACAACAATAAGATATTATGCAATTTAAATCTACTATTAAAAAAAATACTTTTTAAAAAAGCTTATTACAAGATATCCGATTATATAACAGATTAGAATGCTTGGACTTAAGATTTTCGAGCAATGTTCAGTTGTTTGACACTATGATGCGTCATTCAAGTCATCTAATGACAGGGTGGAGTAATTAGTTGTTTCGTGTTGTCGTCGATGACATGTATCTATGTGATGTATGGTTAGAGTAAATCTCTCCGGACTTCCTGATAACATTAATTACTTTATATTGATGGGAATTTAGAACATTTAAAGTTGATTTTGAAGTGAAAATAAAATAATCAAATAAGACTATTTAGGTTGATCAAGTTTTTCTTTGTTTTTTAAACATATCAACAAATTACCTTTACTTTTCAGGTATGTCGACAGTCTCCTACATCTATGTAGCCGAAATAACAACACCGGAGAAGAGAGGGGTGCTCAGTGCCTTAGGACCTGGTTTGGTATCGACCGGGATATTTGTAGTATATTCTCTTGGCGCATTCATTGACTGGAGAAGAGTTGCCGCTATTTGCGCAGGCGTCTCTTTACTAACCCCTTGCCTCATGTACTTTGTACCAGAATCACCTCTTTGGCTCGCTTCTAAAGGTAACATGAAAGAAGCTTACAACGCTATGTATTGGCTTAGACAAAATAACAGCGCGGCTCAACAAGAGCTCATGGAGTTTGCCAAAGACAGAAAAATCGGAGGAACTATGAATTTTCGACAGAAGCTCGGCTTGTTCAAAAGGAGAAACGTCCTTAAACCTTTTGTTTTATTAATGGTATTCTTCATATTCCAAGAAATGTCTGGAATCTACGTGATACTGTACTACGCAGTGGATTTCTTTAAATCAGTAGGAACCAGTGTCAATGAATTTACAGCCTCTATCATAGTAGGTGGAGTGAGAGTTTTTATGGGAGCGGTCGGTGCGTGTTTAATTAACAGCTTCAGGAGAAAGACTTTAGCAGCAGCTTCCGGTCTTTTGCTTGGAGTAGCGATGCTCGGAGCCGCTATTTGTGATACTGTGGACGGTCCTCCTTTAGTAAAATTGGCCTGTGTATTGCTTCACGTGTCATTCAGTATGGTAGGATTTCTCCAACTCCCTTGGATAATGTCCGGGGAGTTGTACCCTCAAGATATACGAGGAGTGATGTCCGGTGCCACCTCGTGCTGCGCCTACGTCTTAATATTCTTTAACATAAAAACGTACCCTCAATTGGAGAATTTGCTAACCAGTAACGGAACGTTGTACCTGTTCGGGGGCTGTGCCCTTCTGGGGGCGGCGTATTGCTTTTTCTTCTTGCCAGAGACAAAGGGGAAGACTTTGACAGAAATCATGAAACAGTTTGATGAAGAGAAAAAAGAAAGTGATCCCGAAATAGGATACAAAGAGAAAAAAGAAAGCATTGAAAGAAGAGCGGTTCAGAGGAGGCACAGTGCCGAGGCAGCTGTTAATTTGGAGAAGAGTGATATTTTTTCTACCAATTGCATTCAAGAAAAAAGTGAGAAACTTTAATCGGTCGTGAGTAATTTAGAACAGCATTGTATTTTTTTTATATAGTTTATATTGTAGCAGAATACAGGGTCGGTTGTTACTGTGTATGCAAAAAGATAGTTACCAGTACGTAGAGTTACTATTGTTTTGTGATCTTTACCTAATGGTATTTTAAATGATTTTATTAAATAGTTCTTAAGAAAAAATACATTCCTTAGTTAAATAGTTCCTAAGTGATAGCGATATAATGATATATTTAAATAATATCTTTTTACAATAGTTCTTTTTTATGTATTTTTTTATGAAATTTATTACGTATTATTTTATTGAAGTTTATCTACTAACATGTTATTCGGGTATATTTATTTAAATAAGTAAAAATTTTGCAGTGTTTTTTAAATTATTTATAACTTATGAAATCAAATGAAAATTATATTTACTTAATGTTATTTTATAATGCATAAGCTATGAATCAAAGATGTTTGCGAATATAATAAGTAATTAGTAATATAAATACATAATAATAATGTACTGCGTGTGATCTTGACTTATAACTGTGATGGAAGCAATTATTAATATTATTAATTATTTTTTTTTCTATGTATGAATAAATGTTTCGTGTTGTTATCTATATTTTCTCACTTATTTCTCAACTAGATGTTTACCTGAGACTTCGCCCGAGTAAATTTCGAGAACTAAAAAAAATTACTTTGTGTACACTTTAGTACTGGTATTGGTAAATATCAATACCGGCAGCTCTCGCCTATTACGAAATACCGCGGTATTGGTACTTTTGTATGTTTACTGTAATATTGATTCAAATCACAATATTTGAATAAATTGGGAAAAGATATATCTAGGAATTATAGGTATTATGAAATAAAAGTGCCGAGTAAAGCTTTGACGTATCTAATCAAATATGAAAAGAACAAACAGTCTTATCTGCAAATATCAAACAAAAGTTGAATTATAATCAGCCGCCATTGATTGGTTTCGAAGTTACCTGCTAGGACGCCGGCGACGCATCCATATTGACGATTTGGTCTCTGCGTGGTATAAATATCAATGCAGGCGTTCCTCATGGTGGCGTCTTATCTTCACTGCTTTTTTTTATCTTTATAAATTCTATCAATCGGTCATTATCATGTTCTTATCACCTGTCAGGTGACGACCTCCACCTTTATACCCAAGCACCGGTATCTGACCTTTCAAGGGCAGTTTCGATTACCAATTCTGACTTATCACTAATCAATGACTGGGGTAAATCATATGGTCTTATCGTTAATACATCTAAGACACAAGCTATTGTAATTGGAAGCCGACATTTCGTTTCTGGGATTAATTTTGATCGCCTGCCCTTTGTAAGGTTCAATGGAACCTAAATTCCCTACTCTAAAACAGTTAGAAATCTGGGAGTTATCATCGATCCTCATTTCTCTTGGAGGCCGCAGGTAGAGGCAGTTAGAAAAAAGTATTTGCTGCTTATAGTTCTCTCAGTCGCTTGCGTAATTTTCTGCCCACTAGTACTAAAGTCACCTTGGCGCATTCTCTTCTGTTGTCTATCATTGACTTCGCTGACGTATGTTATAAGGCTTTGTCGGAGGAGTTTCTTCACAAATTTGACTGTCTGCAGAATGTATGCATTAGATTTATTTTTAATCTTAGGAAATATGACCACGTGTCAAACTTCCGATCCAAGTTACAATGGCTCCCTATTCACCGGCGCAGGGACTTGCACACTCTTAAGGTTCTTTATTTTATACTTTTTCTCCCATTCTCTGCGTCTTATTTTAAAAAAATGCTTCACCTTCCGCTCTTCCTCTACACAACGTCCTTTGCGTTCCTCTACCGATCACATTCTTGAGATCCCTCCCCACTCTACAGACTTTGTTTCTTACTCCTTTTCTGTGCATGCTGTGCGGCTTAGGAACTCACTCCCGGAATGTATTAGGAAAGATCGTTCATTCAATACGTTTTGCGATCAAGTTAAGAATCTTAGTATATATTTGACTAGAGTTATGTCCATTATTTAACCTTCCTTATATTGCACCTACCACCCCCCACATTAGCCATTTTTTATTTTCTCTCCATTGGTTGCCTGGAAGAGATTGCTGCATAGCAATAAGGCCGTCATTTGTGTTCTGTTTCTTCTTACTGCAATTTTCCTGTAATCTGTGTCATATTGAGTGCAATAGAGTATATTATTATTATTACTGTAAACGTGTAAAACTTCGCCTTTTAACCCCCGGACACACACAAATTCGCGCTGCCGCATTTAGAATAAATCGTTTTTATGCTCAAATGCAATCTCGTTAAACACGCGAGATCTCGCCCATTTTTCGAGCGAGATCAATCTCACTTAAAAAGGTCGAGATTGCATTCCCTACCCGTGAATCGACTTTCACCATTATTTCTCCATGATAGCGCAGTTTTAATTTTACGTACATATCAGCATACTTTACTTTAATCCCTATCCCTCATATTGAGTGGTATTCCCGAAGCATAAATATTTCGGGCCAGGGAATTTTTTTTTACATTTTTTCCCTGGTCTTGTCGATATAACATATGAAGTTCAATTAAAAAAAAGAATCGTTCTAATATTCATTGTAATTTTGTCGTGCACTTTTATCTTGATTGTGGTATCCCTTGGAAGTCGTTTATAATTTTATGGAGGTAGGTAACCATTTGCCGCTTAGCTTATTTTTTTATTCTCATAAAATGTCATAATCATTGAAGGATGCGTTTCTTGTAGTGATGATGAGTCGCTTATGAAGTACCTCGTTTCGACAAAAAGGAAATACTCGTCTTTCATCTTTGAAAATGGCGACTTGGCGAGTTGTGGCGCTCGGAAAGCGACTGATTCCCTCATTTGTCTTACGCCTCGCTATTTACTCTTCTTTGCGTTTATTGGTCGTAACTTCGTAAGTTAACTCGTAAAGAAGCAAATATGTAGGAACTTATTATTTAATGGCAAAACGATTGACTATATTAATCAATGTCGCCATACAAAAATCACCCAATTGGTGGGTATTAACGACTGCGTTAGTGTAACCTAACCGAAACTAATAAAAGTTTCCACATTTCACAGTTTTACCGCGATTCAGAACCATACAGCGCCATCTGTTATCCGTTAAAGGAATTAAGCTCGCGTTTTAAATAAAAAAAAGGATCGTCTTTTGAATTAACTTCCACAATAGTTTAGAAAAATAACGGTGTAATAAAATAATAGAATAAACTTCATCTACTTATATCTGTTACAATACATAGTGTTGTTTGCAATTATTTGTTTATTATTATTTAAATTATTTGTTTGTAAATGGAGGTCTTGAATTAGAATTTGACTATACTCTAAATGATATGTTAGCCGTTCATAGGTATTTAACAAAAATCAATGTTATGGGGAAACTAAGAACATTAGTTATATACAAAAGAATTGGCTTTAACAACAAACAAACCAAACAAAAAATCGTTAAAGTTTTGTTTTTGTGAAAAAATTTGAAAATCTCAATAAGACTCCATAAGTATTGCTTTTGCAGTTAATTCATTTCGTTCTTTTGTTCTGAAGAAATAACATTAGATGATTAATTCTTGGGAGTATACATTTTGACGTTTACTTATCGACCTTCGAAGCGGAGTGGTTCGCACGTCGATTGCGAGGTGTTGGCATCTCTGAGGTTCCCAGGTTCGATTCCTGGACTGGTCAATGTAGAAAATGAGCTTTTCTATATTGCGTCGGGTCTGGTTGTAGTAGTACCTACGTTGTTACAGATACTAAATAATACAGGAGATTTAGCTTCTCATGTTGGAATTTGAGTAATAATAGCATAAAATATTATGTGGCAAAAGCTTGAATAATGAAATACCGGATCCTAAGAATTGTATTTTTATTTGTCTAAACAAATTTAAGAGATTATATTGGCTAACCAAAGCAATCTCTTAAATTAATACGGGTACACAGAACTAAGAAGAATGGGAATAAATCAGCTGTTTCATAAGCATTAAGTATTTTCGTGGAATATCAAATGACTGTTATGATTCAAATGTTTATTGTGTCAGATACAGTATCCTATTGTAATCGTGTTTTTTCTACACTGGCAAATATCTAAAGATGTTGGCATATCATTTTTTAAATATATTCTAATAATCAAAACTGCCGGAAGTTTAAAAGAAAGTTTCCTCAGAGAATTTCTCGGCAATTCTTTAAGCATATGTTACATGAGTATGGTGTAGCTCATTGTGGCTGAAAGAATTTTTAAAATGGTTCTAATAGTTTCAGAACCTTACAAACAAATTTGAAACAAACAGGTCAAATCAAATTAAACGATAATTAATTTACAGTGTTTGATCATATCTATACATGTATGTACTAGCTTTCCGTCAGCGCCTTCGCCCGCGTGGGATTGTATTAATATACATAAAAATCTTCTTTTTGAATCACCCTATCTATGAAAAAATAACGCATAAAAATCCGTTGCGTAGTTTTAAAGATTTAAGCATACACAGGAATATAGGGGGAATAGACAAAGAAAGCAACTTTGTTTTATACTATGTAGTGATATTATGTCTATTTTTAGATCTCCGATAACTTCTTTTTACAAGTTTCATAATTAAAGTGAAACTTTTTTAACCGTTAATTTCAGTTATTTATTGTATTACGTGTAAGGGAACGAAAGCGGTCCAATTTGATGTTTCCATTTTTAGTCAACAATTGACAGAAAAATGAAAAAATACTACATGGCGATACGATGATCGATCACGGTATCTCCATTCATTATAACATTAGAAAAAAGAGGGTCATAGAAGCAGCAGTGCAAAACATTTTCTTTTCAAGATAAATTTAAAAAATATTATTAGATTTGTTGAAACTTTGAAAGTTAGGTAGTCTGAAAGAGCTGGGCAATTTTCCATTTTTTACGATACCTCGGGGTTGAGATGTGGCCAGCATCTCATCTTTTACTCCCAAGCCAACATGGAACTTAAACTGAAACTATCTGTCTGATGTTTTGATAAATTCTAATTGTAAGTGTAATTAGTTAATCAAAGGTTGAGAGTAGGGGCTTAGAGCATAATTTTTGTAGGCCACTCGGGCCGGCAACGGCATCGTTCATACTTAACAACAAAAACAAAACAAAAATAAAACAATAACAACCTAATCACGGAAAACAACAAGAAAGGCAGTAGCATTCACAATGGATGAGAATCCCAGATTACGATTTTAACAATTACGAATAAATAATAGTCTGACAAAATTAAAAAACTGTACTGCCGAAACGTTTGAAGGGGTTAGGCAACGTGTTAAATTTGATAGAGTTATAGTGACATGAGAATCGTGCCGAAACTATCCAAGCCTGCTTTTTTAAGCTCTTTACTATGAACACTTTTTATTGTAATAGTTATTAAATCATTTAAGTTAGTCATATACTCATAAATTTGTTTAATAGATAGCTTAAATGACAACATTTAAGGACAACATGTAAGTGATATTTAAGTGGAGATGTAGCAAATTAGCCGTCAGTCTTAAGAGTAACATGATTATTGATATTTTGTCACAAAGCATACCATAAAAAGAACCTTATTTAACTTCTGTCTAATGCTATAAATAATGGAGTATAGTAGGATTTGTTAAAGTTGTTTTTTTTCAATCTTTTATTAGTATTTTATGGGAACTCCGTAACGTCTTTAATTTTTTTATTTTGATAGTATAGGAACATTTATAAAACAAAAGATTTGTTTTTATAATTTTCATTTAGTTATTTTCTCTTCATTAGAATTTATATCGCCCTATTCACTGTATACGAAGTATTATGTGGGGGTAATCTATCGAGTATTATGTGGGGGTATTTTGATTTTAATATTTTACCTAAATATATCTATTAATTTTCAAAGAGTCGAAGTTTACAATGTATTAAGAAAAAAAAAAGTAGGAATTAGCTAAATTAGTCTAGCATTTCTCACGTTTTGCGCTTTGCAACATATGTAGTAGCATTCAATTCACACAATTGTTTAAAAAAATTACTTTATAAAACGTATTATAGTTTTATCAACACTCGTGCGTGGTCTTGTTCCATATTAAAACCAATAAATAAAAATATAATAAAAAAAACAAGTTTTTATTTGTGTTAATAAATAAATTTGTGGTCTTGTTCAATATTAAAACCAAGTAATAAAAATATAATTAAAAAAGACAAATTTTTATTTGTGTGAATAAATAAAATTTAAACATTTAAAGTACTTATAATCATTTTTCCATTTATCCTAACAGTAATTGTAATGGACTTATAAACTTGTAGCGCTAATGAAATAAGAGATGACTAGACGAGCAAATACACATATTTTTAAGCGTTAAAAGATTTTCAAGTGAATTACTGTCAGAGATTTTTTTTTTATAATAGCATAAATCTATCAGATATTGGGAATTGGGTCAAATTTGAGTTCCAAGATATGCGGACTAACATACTAACAAGGCAAGTTAAATGAAAGCTGGTTAAAAATACACAAAGAATATTACGGTTTTAATATTAATTTCGTTTCGTAAATACATTTTTGAGTAATTACCGTCTCGATTTAATTTTCATAATTTCAAACAAGGTAAATAAACAGGTAATGAACTTACATTATATCCATTTGATGGTAATTAACGCCATCTAGTAGAACTACTATGTATTATTTGAATGTAGTGAACGTGTTACCAGTGGTCCTAACTAATGGATATTACGATAAGTAAGTTTTTTAAAACCCTAAGATAGTGATAGATGGCGGTTATGTGACACAAACATTTATGGGTCAACAGAGCATGTCAAATACTTTGTTATACTATATTAGTTAAATTTTGGGATACACCTATTTAATGGATTTTTTGAAGCCGGTTAAACGTATCATGTGCGGGTTAATATGGAAAAGCCCTTTTCTATATCGCCTCGAATCTGGGTGTTTCTGATCTTTCTATGGTTTGATTTCCATTTGCACTTCATTAACGATTGTAGAAACATTAATAATATAAAGAACATGCTGATTCATCACATCATTTCTGGCCACAGAAAAAAAAACATAATTTTATTACATTATTAATTTATTTGTAGGAATTTCGTTTTAAATGTTTGAGTATGTATTGTTTTTTTAATATTATTATTATTATATTATAGGGATTGTTAACTCTGAACTGACCTCCACATAAACTATATCGACTTACCTGGTCTGGGGTATGCCGTACTTGATGCCGACGCCCACTCTCGGCAGAGCTTTGATTACTTTCTTCACAGTAGCCTGGTCTGGGAACGCGAAGAATATTGACGCTGGAAGCACACATGAGCAAAATGAGAATTTAGTAAAATTAATAAATATTACATTAAAGAATACTTATTTAGCACATTTAGCGATTAGGCGAAAATTTTTGTATGGTCGCATTTACAATGCCATACTAATTAGATGGCAGAATTTCTTAAGGTGTAATCAAGATAGCCAATCAATCTGAGATCGCAATAAAAAGCGAGCCGAGCGAGCGAAAAGAGCGTACAGCGGCGTCATATATAATTAGATACAGCGTATTTTTCTAAATGTTTATGTTGACTCTGATTCTGACTGTGAACTGTCTCCAAAATGATGGTTTTACTGGATGGTTTAGTACTCCTAAAATAGACATTCGATATTTTGTGGACTTCGTCGTCTGCCCTGTTTTAACGTAGGTATTGTGTCATAGAGTAGGTCAAAGTTCGATGAAAGTGACGAAAGGTATATCGAAAAAGGAATCAGTCAAATTTCATATACCTCGGTCTGCGCAATTTTCAAAAAAAGTGATCTGTAGCTTTTGCTCCATGTATCATTAATATAATGACGTCTGATGACTAGCCAAATCCAATGGAAGATATTTCAGTGTTATTATAATGTAGCCAGTGATTTTATTTAAAAAAAGCATATAAGCGTAGATTATTATCAAACATACAAAGTGAGTTATATTGACACTTACTTCTGCTAGCCAGGAACATCTCGATGGCCACGTTCTGCAGCAGGTACCGCCTTGAGAATATAGCTCGGATCTCGCTGAAGTACCATTTTCCGTGCAGGTGTTCGCAGTACTTCAACACCTGTAAATAATAATAAAAGCTCATTACAATGAGGTTAAAATACACACACTCACATATATACTATTTATAATGAGAAAATGAGGCAAAGTTTCTAACTTTGTTTATTTGTAAGGAGTAATCTTCAAAAATACTGATGTATATCATACACAGTTATGTCAAAGGCTATAAACTTGCGAAGCGAAGTTGCGACAAAACATCTAGTCACAAAATATATATTTTTTCAATTAATAATTACTTTTAAGTCGACAGAGTACAATTTTTATTATTATATTCTTAGGCACTTCTAATAAAATACAGATTTAACCCTGCATTTTAGACCCTATTGCGTAACAACTAAATAATGGATATTTTTACAAAAATTATCATAATTATGAGGCTATGAATGTCCCCACTGCGAGTACACAGGCCTTCACTAAGGATGGAATGAAATTGGGAGAATATTCAAATAAGATTCGAATCATACCTACACAATGATAACACATACAGTAAAGTTGACTCATCAACATCATACATAAAAGTGTTTATGATAATTTACGTCAAAAACGAAAACGCGCCCTCTATTAAGTCAACATGGCGCCGAAAACGAAATAAAAATAAACACACCGGTCGAGTCGTAAAGGCAGACAGACACGATGCTATAAAACGTTCATTAGTAGATGAATTTATACGGACAATAATGTTATAGACACCACGATATGTTCGACGACTCTTTCTCTTAAATTATATTGTCCATTGAGTTGGGGCACTAAAACTTTAACACATACCTACATGTATGGACGTTAACGGGTTGAATGGAAACCACTTAAAGACAACACGAAATAGTATTGTTTTAGATGGATTGCGTTGTAGGTACAGTTGTAGGGGAGGCGGAGAGGTTGTAAGACAGAAGTGAGTTGAAACAACACTTCTCTATATTTAAAAACCGTTAGCAAATTGGAATCTTCACATATCAACTGCATTACTATCATTTCTTCATTAATTCTAAAGTGTATAGAAAACATTTCAGAATTAATCAAAAAATTATAGTAATGCAGTTGATATGCGAAGATTCCAACTTGCATCTCTCTAATTCCCATCCAATATTAAGTTAGGTTAGGATCAACTTCCCTTATCGCAATTTATGTCAACGATTAAAAAATAATAAAAACTTCAATATGAAATAATTACGATTTATTGCATACTTCATTCATACACTTCATAAAATATACCACTAATAATAGATAAATAAATAGATAACCAGCTACATTTTAACGTTGTTTTTATAACACAAAGAGCTTATTCTATTAACTGCTAATGAAATTCCAGTGTTCCATTACACCGATTATATTCATAGCGCCTTAAAAAGTCCCCCTAAGAGCAGAAAATCCGCTAATTATGGCCCGAGGTTGCATCCCTGGGTGACTGCAAAAGAGGGTGGACGACGTATTGATAAGAGAATTATGTGCACAATCCTATGGGAAAGGGATTAGTGAGTGTTGTTCATATTGAATTACACTATGCAACTGAAACAAATAAGGATCGAATGGCAAATTATTAAAAGAATCTTAAGAGTATATTTTTTCTGACGGTATTTATTGAGAAGGCAGTAACATAAAGGTCTTGAAAAAGAAAATGTTTACCTAGGAAATGCTCACGTTGTCTTAAAAGCTCATTTTTGACATGTTTCTCAACATGTTAGTAGATCGATGTCTTCGGAGCTCTGCTCAAAAACAGTGTGATTATGATAACCCTGATGAGGGTGACTTTGTCAAAGTGATCGCTCACATTATTGTTATATTTTACTGTGGTCGCGGGTATATTACCATTACAAACAAAATTAACAGTGTGTGTCTACTGCACGAGACAAGCTTAGAAACTTAGTACTGATTTTAATGTGGTTTTAACTAGTAGACGGTGTAATTCATGGTTAAGATCCTGATGAGTAATTCACTAAGTATTGTATAAATTGGCTGAAGAACTGCAATGATTTTTGATAACATTACATAAATATAATTACTAGAAGCTTAACTCGTATATGCAAAGCAAATTAAATACAGCGTCAAAGCTGGGGCTAGTTATTGATGACAATACAGGAATATTTTTGTATGTATCTGTGGCAATAAGTATCTGTCATGAAAGTGAAACGTGGGGAGTAACTAAACAAACTTTGTAAAACAAATATAATCGAATGTAAAATATCACTAACCGGTTTAAGAAAATATATTCAAGACACACCGTCGCATCAAAATGAAGTCCCTGATTAATATATCGAAAGAAAACTTTCAGAACCTGGGTCTACTAACGTGCCGGGTTACTGTATTACAATTAATCTATACTCAATAAGTTTATTGTTTCCATAGGTAATTTTAAATAATTACAATTCAGTTTCACATACATTCATTATTCACGTCTACGAAATATAATTTAGCTAATCTACCAACGTTTAATATATATTCGGTCGAGAATTCACGCAGTGTTCGTCCAACCATCGTCAGTTGGTATTGATTGATCGAAGCTTGTCAATCGATCGAGGAACTATGCCGCTATCCGTATTGATGGAGATCGATACAACGCATCGTTGGACTGTTTTATCACGTACGTCGCTAATGGTAAATCTTTTAAAGCAAGAGAGTAACAATAACTTTACATTACTACGTTGAACAATAAGTTTATAAATTGGAGATTAAATTATCAATTTTTTGAAGGATATTGAAAAAACAATCTTACTGAATTATACTAAACGAACATAGCATTTTCACGTTTTTCTTCTTGAGTGATAGAATTTTGATTTTTTATATTTTATATTACACAAGATAACTAAACTAATGGTATATCAATATCATTGACTGGCTCAAGTACCAAAATATGACACTACTTTTTTCCATACAAATTTAATCCACGTCTCTAAACGTTGTGTCTCGTAGATAAAGATACTGTAACTGCTGACATGGCAGTACATCTCTGTACGTAGACGTACTGCTATTATGACTACATCAGACACTACGATAATATGACACTACGCCTTGGGACGTGACCGTAAATAGGCGTACTGCCGTGTAGTATCACAAGCCTGTATTTCAAAATTGACACTACGCCTTGACACGTGAGCGTAAATAGGCGTACTGCCGTGTAGTAGCACATGCCTTTATAGTAGATTTGATACAACGCCTAAGTACGTGACACGTAAATAGGCGTACTGTTGTACAGTTTTACATGATTGCTGTACAGTTTTGACACAACGCCTGGGTACGTCACCGTAAATAAGCGTATTGTCGTATAGAATTACTACTCATATTGTAGATTTGACAGTACTTCTTAGTACGTGATACGGAAACAGACGTTGTGTCGGGATGTATCCAAAATTGAAGAAAAGGACAGTTAAGAAATGACACAACGTCTTGGTACGTTAGCGCAAATAGACGCGCTAGCCGATAAAGTTAGAGACATACTACGTTAATTTGACACAACGCCTTGTTAAGTCACGGATATAGACGTTATTGTTATATAATTAAGCATAAAATTGCATATTTACTTCAAATTCTAAAATGATTGTTTGCACAATTACTTATGTACGAAAAGGTTTTTGTAGGAATAAATCAAAGTCACTTTAATTAAATCGAATACTATATTTTCTTTACAACGAAATAGTCAAAAATTAGACACAGTCTTTATATTTCAAGTCTTTTCAGTCAAAAAATTTAATAGTCTTAGTAGGAACATTTATGTTTTCATTAAATCACAGTTTTATCAATCTTTATGGCACTCGGTAATAATAAAAAATGATAAAAAAACAAAACTAACTAAAACTTAAAGTATTCTTCTTCCTTAAAATAATATAAATAATTTTACCCTTTCATTATACCTATTTACCTACGGTATCTACGTATTTTTAAATAAACAACAAAAATGTGATCCCTTCACAGCAAACATAAGAATACAAAAAAAACTTAAAAGCTTCAGTGTCAAGTTTAAATATAACATAACATATGAAACATAATTATTATATTAGAGATCTTTGTGCCATTCTTCGAAACACGATGGACACAATGCAGGAGATTTGTTACATCCTTTACAATAATAACTCGTGTCTCGTCGTATCTTACTCTTTGAGCATTGCTTGCATGACAAAAATGCAAATTTCTTTTTTGATGCTGCAGAAGGCATCATGCGTGTAGGCCAATGTCCGTGATTGGTTGTTGATAGGGAAGAAGATGCTTCTTCAGGTTGTGGTTCTGGCACTGGAGCATTTTGAACCAGAAATCGTCGACTATTGTGCTTATTAAACTTTTGTACCAAATCGACACCTTTTTCTTCATTCAAGCCCGTCAGTTTTCGGATCAGTTCTTCTCTGTACTTTATAAGCTCGTACTTTGTGTTTTTCTTCACATAGTTTTTGTAAATGTAAAAAGAATTCCAAACAGCCGTGTCTAAAAGGTGGAAAAGAACCTTTTTATACCATCGTATAGTCTTCCTTGGCGACGAATAATAACTGACCATTTGGTCAGCTCGATCTATACCCGCCATTTTTTGGTTGTACCTATGAACTTCTTTGGGTTTGGTTTTCTTTTTACCAAATCTGTTTGGGACTTCAATAAGTTCTGGGTGGTCCAAAGTTGTAATCATACAGACTTCTCTTTTATCTGTCCATGCACTTACATAAACTTTTCCTTTTCTAGCCCAGACATGTTGTCCTTTATTTAGTTTCTTTCCTGTGATTTCTTTTGGATTGTCTTTCCTTGACTTTCGCAGGGTCCCATTAGAATGAGTTTTTAAATCAATTAACTTCTCTGAAAGCGTCACAGAATTGTAGTAGTTATCCATAAATAAGTTATGCCCTTTTAGCACATATGGACGCATCAAACGAAGGACCAACTTATCTGTTTTTCTCTCAGTTGAATCTGCATCTTCCGCTCCAGTATACATTTTAATATTCAATACATACCCATCAGATGTCGTTAAAACGTAAAACTTAATACCATATCTCGCTTTTTTTGACTTTATGTATTGTCGAAACACCAAACGTCCTCGATACAGCAATAGTGATTCGTCAAGAGACAAATCTTGCCCAGGGTTAAATTTGTTTCGAAAATTTTGTGTCAGGGTATTGATGAATCCTTCAATTTTCGCACCTTTAGCTGCGCCCAAATCAGCTGCATATAAACATCGTAAAAGTTGTTCGTATCTTCGACAGGACATTGTGTAATTAAATACGGGATGAAAGTACAGCGGATCATCGTAAGTAAAAAGTTTTCTCTGGTTTGGGACATGAATATGACCATTTAATAATGTGAGCCCTAGGAACTTTCTCATTTCTTCAACATTTGTTGGATGGAATACGGAGTTTCGCGCATGACGTGTATGCGGCCGGTTAGTATTTGTAAGAGCTTCTCCGTAAGTATTTGTCCTTTCAACTAAATATTCTAACATATCTGGTGTAAACATTTGATTAAATACTTCTTCACAAGTGGTATTTTCATTTACTTCGAAAGTTGGACCTTTCTCAGCAGACCTGAACTCAAATGAAGGAACATCTACTACGTTATTCTCCCAAATCCTTTCAGTTGGTGGAGGAGTACCTCCGCGCACACGATTTGCCATATGCCTGTGTCCTCTATGATTTTCTTCTTGACCTGTACTAACCTCTATCTCACGCTCTGCCACTTCAGCTGGTGCCTGTGGTTGCAGGAAAGGAATATCTTCAACATCTTGATTTCTCCCATCAGAAACAGGTGCTACTGGCGGTTGATTGGCCCTTGTTTGACGATCGGTGAACGGTTCCTCTTGACTCTGTCTGATTTCCTTTTCCATATCGTGTGATTCTTCTGGTTGTGTGCTTTGATCCTGTAGGAACAAAAATGAAGTAAACATGCTTTTGCCGATAAATCATTCTAGTCTTTCACTACAACACACGAATAAGAATAAGAGTGCATTTGCAGTTTCAATTCAACCAATCACCTCCATACTATTTTATGCTAAATAAAACAAAATTGAACTAAACTTCAAGATAGCATATAATAGCAATTTACCTCATTTTCTTCTTGATTTAGTGTAACTTCTTCTTCAGGAATCCACTCAGCCGCTCTAGCCCTAAAATCGTGAATTGAACTTTTTTCTTGGTCACTGCTTACAGGGTCCTCGACAGCATCATCACCTTCTTCCTGAGATTCATCCGACTTATTTTCTGTCCTATCATCACTCTCCGAGGTTTCAGCAGATTCTTGACTAGATTCCTTACTTCCTGGCAAAAATCGGGGTATATTCCGTCGGTGCTGGACACGCGTATCGAAAATGCTATCTTCACTGGCACTAGAATTTTCATTGGGAGGTTCAAAATTTTTGTCGGAGTCAAATTCACCTTCAACGTCCGAGAACGGATCATGACTGCTACCTGACTCTTCTTCTCTAAACAAGGTCTTAGACTTGTCGCTTTGGCGCGATCTTTTCTTTCTAGTAGCCATCTGTAATTAAATTAAATACCTTGTAACAGGCAGCCACACCAGAAGCAATAGAACACGATTGCAATAGATACAAAACGTAGAATAAAACATAATATAATATGGTTATAGGTTAGAGTGTACTAAAATATTTTAATTTCACTGTAAAATATACTCAACTCTCTAGGAAGCATTTAAAAAATTATTGGCATCTGATTATTTGACCCCAAGAAAACACTAAAACATAAAATTGAATCAAATACTCACCTCAAATACCACGTGGTGAAATTGCGCAGCCTCCAGCGATCGTCCTCGACTGTGACACTGCGCGACTGTCCGACCGCAGCGCTATAGTCGCTCGTCGGCTATATTCGTTGCGTCACGACATGCTTACTATGCAAAAATTTATATGTGTGTGTAAGGCCACACATTTGTAGTCAAAAAATCTTTTGTTATGACAGTACACGAATGAAATCGATTACGTTGTGACAGTATACATAGGACTTCATATTAGCTCTAAGAAAACTTCACGCTTATGTTCGTACTGGCAAAGAATTTTAAAAAGAAAATAGCGTAAATGGACGTTGTGTCATATTGTGAGTTCCGTAAATGACGAAAATGGCCGTTCCGTGAATCTTGTATTAATAATATTACCTATGAAGAGGAAAGACTTTATTGTTTGCAATTAATATTATGTTGTCTTTGTGTGGGTAAAACGAATTATAAAAAAAAATTGACATCACATACATGGCTCAGATTCCAAAATTAATAGCTAAGTCTCCGTTAATATTATGGAGTATCAGAGACAAACATACTCCAGCGACTTCATAGATGGCGACATTTTGGAACCGGCGTGCGAACCACTCGGCTACGGAGGTCGTCACAATTGGATTTAAAATCCAAATGTTTTGTTAAGGCGGCTTTTAAAACAAACTCAGAACCTCCTTTTTTGAAGTCGGTTAAATAATTCACTCACTCTAATGAGATAAAGTTGTGATACGTATTCATAAGAGGCTGATGATTGTGTTACCTCCCCTTCACCTCGTAATGTCCCCGTTGTCATATCCAATTGTCCCGTAATTAGTCAAGCACCCTCTGTCTGCTCGTCTCCATTCAATGTAAGGTCCGTAATGTGCACGGATAAACTATAGGTAGATTTACGGTCCGGACGATTTATTTATTTATTTAGTCTTTATTACAGTACAGCAAAGGGCGGACTCTATGTCGTACGGCATTCTCTGCCAGTCGACCAGTAAGTGTGTCACATAAACCAAAGGGGTGGCATAACAAAGGGATTTAAGAAGAAAAATAAAACTTAGTGACAATATAATATATTATTATCATAAAAATAAATAAATAGCTACATATACAAGAATATAGACCTATACATGAAATTACAATATTAAATCAGATAAGATGAGACCGATAAGTTTATGATAATGTTCACGAACCAGTCTCTTGAACTGAAATTTCCAGAAGAAAGACTGTTACATGAGCGAAGGTTACGGTCATGAGAGGAGCCCAGAAACTGAAATCTAAATTATTGTTATATTTGACCAATTTCGCATTTACAATGTTATACTGGAAAATATTCTTTATGAAATCTAGATTTCACAAATGCTGTGACTGTCAATACTGGCCGCTAATATTTTAAAGATTGTTAAAACTAGAAACAAATTGAAAAATATTATAGAGAAGTACAGTTAAGCGGGACAGGTACGATTTTTTTTTAACCGGGCCTGAAACTGCGTATGGCGCTCTACATCTACCTACGCCCCCCCTCATCCCTACGATCCGTGAAGCCGGAATTTATATTGTCACATGTTTGCAGTTATGTATTTTTATTTTTATTATATTTCATTAACAGAGTTTTAAGCATGTCTATCCCATCATAACCTGTATAGTAGGTATAATGATTATTATACCTACTAAAACAAGTAAACAAGTAAAACCTTTTTCAATTCTGACATTAGTTAGATCTATAATCGGACTATTCACAACTTAGCTAGTTGTATAAATGGAGACATTTTCATGTGACATTGTGAAAGCTCAAGTTGTCGCCGTCTCTGAGGTCCCGAGGTCCATTCCTGGTTGGTTCAATGTATAAAGGACTTTTCTTTATAGTCTCTGTCTAAGTGTTGTAATATACCTACGTTAGCCGGTTTCTGAATTGAAAAAAGTGGAAAATTTCAATTGATCATTTTCAATAAATTATTTTTTTTACGTTAAAAAATCCTAGTTGTTTTATCAAACTGCTAACAACTGATCGTATGTGATGTTTTCCGATGTTTATTCATTAACTTCAAACGACATTAAGCTGTAATGAATGATCTTATTTTGAAAATTTGTGTCTGTAATGTCGCATTAAAATAATGACTATTTTAATGGGACGTTTGTGCGACTGAGTGATAGGTAATCTCATAAATGGCAAATTCGTCACAGTCTGCGATGATAATAGTCACACCCTCCTGTTTAAATCGTATCGACACACCACACATTGTTTGTGCAAACATTTGTGGATCAGTCTGGATGTAGATACGACATGCATCGAGTATGAAAATGAAATGGGGCTGAATATCACTACACGAAACTACATCGAGTTCGTAATAAATAGTTAAACTTCGAACAAAGTTTGTTACCGATTCTTTTCGGTTCTGGCATATTCAATATATAGTTGTAATTAAAAATAATTTAATAGAGTTTTTAGTCTTAAAGAGGTTCTTTCTATTCGCAAAGGTTTTAATAATCTTCCAATGGAAAAATTATAAAAATCTAAAGTTTTTTGAAATTTTTTTCCTCGAAAAGAAATTAAGAATAAAACGGCAACTTGACACTTTAATCCGCATTTTTAAATATCATTGTAAAAAGCGGTGTGGATGCCCTTCTTAAGGCTGCCCTTAAAGACAAATAAGAAAATGGAGGGAAATCAACCAGCCCTTCGAAGAGTTGATAGGGACAGAGGATGAAGTTTTGGTTGAAATAAACTATTTTTAATAAAAGAGTCGAAAACAACCATTATCAGTTATAAAGTGACCAACATATCTATCAATTACCTTAATAATAGAAGAGTATAATTAATAAAAGAAATTACTTAACAGTGAATTTTAAACGTAACTTTGTAACTTTTCAGAGTAAAATAAGACCCTGAAGATTATGAAGACTTAGCTATCCTATTCCTATTTCGCTTCGCTCCATCTTATGAACAGGGATAGTTACACAAGTATGAAATTTTCATATAAAATTTATTTTTGTTGCCGCTATAATGACAAATGCTAAAACAAATATTTAAAGGTGCAATGCAACAAATATGACTTTTAGCTCGTTTTTACTCGATATTATCTTTCGATATTCTCCCAAAAAACAAACGTCCTTTTTGCGGTTTTTATAGATAATGGCACAGAATCCTTCGTGCGCGAGTCCGACTTGTTCTTGGCCGGTTTTAATTTGTCAAAAAATGTTTAAAAATTATCTTGTGACCTTATACCTTTACATACATATATGATGTGGTTTACCTTTTTTCAATTAGGTACAGCTTATTATTTTTTGGTTTACGCGCCCTCTTAACACTACTCGTTATTACGTCACGGTTGAAATAATGTAAGCTCTAATTTCTTTGTTATTAAAAAAAGGTTATCGGAGGGTGGCGTTAAGTGGTCGTCTAACAATAACTCGATGGTTAATACTTAACCAGTCGTGAACTCATAGAGTATAGCTAATGGTGCCCGGTCACGGAATCACAGGATGAATCATGGCACCATGGAACGAATCACGGAAGCTGAGAACATACCAGGTGGGATAGATGTGATTTATGGGAACTGGGGGATGTGGATTAATCGGTGACGGGGCGAGATTGCAATTTGTTATAAATCATTTCTTGATTCGTGTTTTATCATTTGTACGAATAGAGATGAGGCCTGGGTAAGAAAAAAAAAACTGTTTAGTCCCTCAGTCAGACGATACAAAAATATTTAACAAGAAATGGCTTAGTCAATAGACACTAAAGTTGAGGAGTGGAAGCTCGCTGCGTCACAACTATGTAAATAGTGTACAAAGGTGCCGTCATCAGATATTTTAACTGTATCGCCGTAATTTATTGATTATGAAAAAAATTAAAAATCTATCCAATCTCTTCAATAATCTATCCAACGGACAGTTAAACAAAAATTCCTTTTGTGTTTTTAATGTTAAGTTTTAGAAATAGGTTAAATTCAAATTAGGCTAGAATGTTTGGATCAGGAGACATTAAGAAGATGAAACGGGCTTAGTGTCATTCGTTGCCTCAAATCAAAACGTACTTTAAACAAGTTAATATTTCATATTTACCACAAATTCAGGACAACCTTTGCCTAGCATGAAAAAAGTACGAATGAAGCTCACCAGATCCTACCTAATGACATTTGCATTACTACCAAATCTATGTCAATGGTAACAAAATAAATTATATCTGTATATATATATGTACAAGTGAAAAAATAACAATAATACAAATGCACTATGTAGTCTGTATGTAATTTTGTTCCGTAAGTAACAGAATTACATTAAAAGCAATTCAAAATAATTATCGACCATAAAATTATTTGGTGAATTTATTTTACTCGTATATGCTACAAATGATTTATGCATAAATGAAGTCGTAATACTTAATCACATTCAAATGTTTCGAGACCAATCAATGTGCAGTGGCAACAATTACAGCTTGCCCATTGTCCGAATCATAATTGGCTTAGTCTAACTTAGTTTAATTTGGGGTGTGTGCAATAAAGGTAATATACAATATTATACTATATATAATATATATTATACTTCTGAACCAGTTTTAATCTCATTATTTCCTAGAATATATGGATGAGGATTTAATCTAAAATAACTTTCACACAGTTTAGCCTAGTTTTGTCCAACATTTCTATCCTTATATTTTCGTTTGATGACAAAGGTCATCTCTTATGTCACACGACGCGGTCATGTTCCCATTTTGTTGTGACACTATTTTCAAACTTTCTTAATTAAAACCCACTTATTGCCAT